AGAGGTGCCTATACTATATAGCTATACAATAAATTATTTACTATACTATATCTATGCTATAAATCTGTCTATAAATGTCTATATAATATGTGTCTATAATGCTGTCTATAAATCGGATAACATTTTTTTTATGATTTCGGATTTTATAATATAATTCATCCTTTCATTTTTTAGCTTGGTTGGTTTTCTATGCAATGAATATTGACTAGCGTATTCTTTTGGGACTTCTGAAGCTCATCTTTTTTTTTTTTTTGGCTAGAATTTGGTTTTAGTCTTTCATACGTTTACCTGCGTTAACACAAATCTTTTAATATTTTTAAAGCATTTTGAAAATTTTCTTTACTATGAAATTCTGAAGGATCTTCAGTTAAAAAACATTTCCAAATATTCAATCGATCAACAAATTTTTAAGTAATAGGTGTCACAAAATCAGATAGTCTCTTTGTAATATAGAAGTTTTGACATCATCATCGCCATTTCTCGATTCTCCATTGCAATAACTTCAGCGTCAAACAATGAAAGTGCGATATTTTAATCAGAGAAATGGCCAAAAATGGCTGCAAATGGTTGTTTTTTTAAACGTCGTTTCCAATTTTCGGATCCAATTCTATATAGTTGTACATTTCGCATATGAATTGAAAATACAGACTTAGGAATCCAGAACAGCTAATGTTGACCGGAAGCAATAATTTTCAAAAAAACGCAATATAAAAATATAAAAAATATATATTTTTTGGTATAAATTTGGGGTTTTGTGGGAATTTAACAGAAGTCCTGATCAGTACTGATCAGTCACAACAAACCTAAACTTGATTTGTTTAATGGTCTTCCAGGAGTCCTTAAATCTGGCAAAGTGTGGAATGTTTGTACCTGATGAGGCTTCTTTGATTTGATCAACATTTCCCCATTCCATTACCCATTCCGAAAGCATTTTGGGTAGACAAGGGTGGCAATTCGATAGTTTCACTACACTGCACGTGTAATTGCATATTGGAATGAAAATTTGAATAGAGCTGAGATTTGAGGGGTTTTAATGTTATAAATCACGAAAAAATGCAATCCGATCAGTGCGATATATGTATATATAGTATAGCTGACTTAGGAACCATTGGCCAAATATCGTATTTTCCAACTTTGACCTCAAGTCGGAACCTCTCAACGTTGTAGAATGGGGCTAAAACTTTATATTTTATTATTTTTTATACCCTGAGATCTTTGAAATTTCACTTTTATAACTAACTACGGATTTAAATATTAACAAACAAAGGAAAACAGGGGATACGGAATACGGAATACGGAAAAGGATCATGAGTAGTTAGGATAGGCCGAAAAGTTCGGATAGGTCTGGAAGGAACCGAGGAACTAATTTGCATATGTAGGTGGGATGTCGGGCTCTTGGACTCGTACTATATATGTGTGTATGGAAAGAGATAGGCCGCGATAATGGTTTAATTTCTGCAATCAGGATATATGTATGCACACACGAGTATGCATACTTGATGGAGGACAGGAACAACGACTTGCCACTAGATGCAAACATTCGATTCGAAAATGCTCGACTCGCATCCGGATTGACCAAAGGATGCCACCGCGGGGGGCGCGCGAAGAGCCCAGCTATTCTAATAAAGCGTCGGGCCAAGGTGTCGGAGGCACGGACAATGGAGCAACCTGTTCAGCCGACGCGCCTGCAGCGCCTCTCACATGCACATCCAATACAGACACTGATGAACGAAGCCTTCGTGTCGGCTTTCGGCTGCTGACTTACGTCACAAACATGCGTAGGCGTCATCATCGTGCGGCGCACCCATTGCCCTCGTCCTGTCCCGCCCCAGTCCCCAGGTCCAATCGGCAGACATCGCTAAAAGACGACGACGACGCCAGCCAGGCGGTAATTTCTCCCTGGCTCCTGCCACCGCACTGGGGCTCGGCTCTCTCTTCCCCGCCTTTCGGGGGGCTGGGGGGTTGGCCTGAATGAAATTTTCGTTGCTTCGATTTTTGTTGTTGACGTAGTCGTTGGGGCCCCGTCGTCGTCCCAGCGCCTGCGCAGTGGCCTGGCAGAATCATCTGTTGGCCCCCCGAATCTGTCCTGCCCGCCTGCCATGCCCCACCAAGTGCATTTGGCTTGTGGTAGGACGCTCCCACAGGCAACACCGACTGAATGGGGTCTGGGGCCCAGCTCGGCTCAGCTGTTTGCTGCTGCCGCTGCCTGTAGAGTTTTCCACCTTGTGTAGACCTCTGTTCCGTGCAACAAATTGTGCCTTCAAGCCGGCTTTCGCTCAAGAACTCCAAACACTGATGCGAAGGGTTGCAAAATAAATATTTGAAACGGAACCAAAATAAGTACATTTGTATGTGAAATTATAAGGTTTCCTCATGTGTTTGCTCCAAGAAACATTAGAGTCCAGAGAATCAATTCTTTGTACAAACATTTCCATTAAGGGATTTCAAAGTCGATCTACACAGCCTATCGCTATTTGAAAGATTAGAAAGAATTTCGAAAATATTTGTACACATACGTACACACATGTTTTCCGCAAAATTTGAAAACATTTATCGAAAGCCAACAATCTACTGGAACCAAAACTCTCCACCCTCCCGAGCCAGAGCGCAACTCACCTCCACCACGCCATGAATCCATTCCCCACCACCCATGGAGCAAGTGCGAATATATGTACCATAGTTCCAATTGCGCGCTCGTAAAACTTAAAAGCCACAGACATCGTGACGACAACAGACCGTTCTCCATGCCCCATTCTCTAAGCCCCCCACCATATTCTCACCATGCCTCCAACGCGAACAGGCCAGGCCAGTCATGGGCCAAGTCTCTGCTGTTGAATCTTGCATGAGGCGTCTGCAACAACAGCAACACACAGCAGGTTGCAGGCATCGATGACGACGCTCCGTGCCTAGTGTAATTCTCCTTCATTCATGTTTGACATGCCTCGGCTCCCCTTCGGCCCCTTGCCACAAGCGACTTGCAATTCATGCTTTCGTTCCAGTTTCGTTCTTGTCGCTAATGTGTGGGCGTCATCATTGTTCGAAGTTCGAACAGATTCGTACAGTTTCTAACAGATTCGAAGAGGGGCCTCGAATTTTAGGAGCAAAGAAATGTAGGGGAAAGTGTTTTTCTAGGAGAGCAGCACTCGGAGGCACTCGATGGTACGGAAATTTGCATGATATGCCATGACTGAATTCCATGCAAGTTATATGAAAGACAACCCGAGCAGCCCTTTCGCATGACACCTGTGAGGTGTTTGAAACAACAGTGATCATATTTAGTGAAACTATTCCAAACCTGGCCTTCTTCCCAGGCTCTTCGGACCCTAAATTTACAGCAATGTTTGGCTGGATAATCTTGAGAATACAAAATTGTTTCCAACAAAATAATGATATTACGATGGTGTAGTGGTACTTGTAAATTCAAAATTTAAATAGTATTTCTACTCCATAAAGAGTGGAAATAAATACTTTTTTGTTGTTGAAATTTGCTGTTGATAAGACAGTAAAATGGGTTTTTGGGGTATAGTCATAGTACTTAAGAACGAAACTGTATGAAACGCCCGTAAAGCACTCGTAACTTGATTTTCCTTGACCCCTAATGGGTTATTCCCCTAGTGGGAGTTTCAGGAAATTTTCCCAAATTTGATGAGCTCCAATTGTCAGGGTTTAACCAATGAAAAATGAATGCAAGTGAACAATTAAAGACTGAGCTGAGGCATCAAGCATGGGCCGCAGGAGGCGGAAGCAGCTGATACTAGGCAAATCCTATTACTAAAGGAGTATTCTTTCGAACTCTCGCCTTGCCCCACCGTGTTCGGGTTGGGAAAGGAGACGGAAGGGACAGGACTCAAAACCATATGGGAGTTGGGTGTTGGGTGATGGGTGATGGGTGTTTGGTGTTGGGCGGTGGGCGGTGCGGGAGTTGGCGATGCCGGCAAAACATGCGCAAGAGAGCTCTCGGCTCTCTCTCGCTGACGCTCTCTCCGCCTCGGGAAAACTCTACACAGCGGATGGATGGATGGTCTTTTCGGGCTGGCTTGAAAACAAGTGGTTGAGCGAGCGGTCTCTTCAGTATTGAGCGAACAGACGCAAATGCCGTTACGAGCTCGCTGCCATTGAAGCCGACTGAGTGCCGTTACAGGAAGCTGTGACGCTGAGACGCTGAGACGCCGAGACGACTCTGAAGCTGAAAAAGAATCAGCAGCAGCAGCAGCAGCAGCAGCAGCAACAACAGCAGCAGCAGCAGTGCGGGAGTAAGGAGATTGGGAGAGAGTGAGAGAGGACACAGCAGCCAGCCAGCGGCCGGGACGAGTGAAATTCGAGGTACGAAACGAATGCGCACGACCGCCACCCGAGCGCACACACACACGCCCAGATGGGCATATCCTACAGTTGAAATACGAAACGCCTTGAGCAGAGACAGCAGCAGCAGCAGCGGGAGCACCAGCAGGAGCAGCAGCAGCGCCAGCGACAGCGACAGCGAAGCGACCCAAAACGCGTCAGGATTCCAAGCAAAAGGCAGACAAACGGGCGAAACCTGCTGAGACGACTCGACGAGTCCTTGCGTGTCGGTTCACAGTGCGGAACACTAGAAAAACAGACCAGAAAAAGAAGTATATCCAAACAACACTCACAGCACATCACATATGAAAAAGTTCCCCCCATCAATAACCGAAAAGCATACGAAATCCGAAATTGTGAAAGCGAAACAAAGAGTAAATGATTTCAAACAAATATTCCCAAATCGAAGCCAAGCGAAGTGAAGTTATCTTTCAAATAAGTTCTGAAAATCATTTCCAAGTGAATTTTAATTAATGGAATCGAAGAAATTAAACCGCTAACCGATAACCAAAACCGAAATCGAAACCGAAACCGAAAACAAAGTGCCGTACCGTACGCCGAATGCCATAAGAAAGAATACAAATAAAAAGTGCTAAAAGTTCCTTAAACCAATATAATACAAAAAAAAATATTGTTATAACTAAAAAATATACAAATTATACACCAAAAATATTCTTTGCATTTTAACAAACAAATAAACGAAAAAGACCAAAGTGCCGTGCAAGCTGAATTTCTTGAGGAAAAGTAGTTGGAAAACTCAAGAATAGGAATAAGCATAAGCCCAGGGAAATAACACATTCAAGATACTAATATACACAGAGACTTATCTTTTTTGGTGGTGGTGTGTAGCAAGCCTCCTTGTCAGCAAAACGGACAAGGGGAAGGACACGAGAAGTAGCTGTAGAGGCAGGTCTAGAACAGCAATACCGTACCGACGCGTCGGACACGGACGGGCAGCAACTAGTTGTTAGACCCTGCACCCTCCATCCCTAGTTGGAAGAGCGAGCACTGTCTTGCAGAGTTGTTGGGGCGTGCGGCCGTGTGTGTGTGTGTGTGTGTGTGCTAGTGTGTGTGTGTGGGGGAAAGGCCAACAAGGTTCAAACCCTCAGCAACAACAGCCGCATCTCATCGGGAAACTCCAACCAGCTCCAGCTCCAGCTCCAGCTCAAACTCCAACGCAAACTCAAACTCCGGGACTGAAAGTAGACAATTGATTATTGATTTTGTCTAAGGCTGCGCTGTGTGGAACTTCGCAGCTTAACAGGCCGCAAAACAAACTTGGCACAACACGGCCCCGAGGAAAGACAGCAGCAAAAAGCAACAGCAACAGCAGCAGCAACAGCAACATCAGAGAAGGAGAGACGAGACAAGAAAAACTGCGAGAAGAAAGTGCAAGACAAAAACCCGTTGAAAAGCAGCCGAGGCGCGGGACGACAGCGCAAGAAACAGCGAAACTAACTGTCGCTTGCCTGTGTTGGGCAATGCTAGCCGTAGGCCGTCACAGTGTTGGGCAGCGGCACGCGGCATGAAGACCTACAAGAGCTTCGAAAGTGTCAACCGAATAGAGTAATTGTAATCGCCCAGCGACCAACCGAGAGAAAAGCAAGCCAGTACTCTGAATTGCAGCCCTTTTCCCCCTTTCCAGCGTCTCTGCGTCCCACCGTCTCACCTCTCTTGGTCGGAATATTTCGCCCAAATCTTCTCCCCCAAATCACTGTCGGGACCTGAGGGACCACTAAACCGTCAAAATAACTTGTAAAATTGAGAAACTTCGCCAAATCAACAAACGGAAAATGTTCTTCTCGCTGGCTCAGACGTTCGTCTGCGTGCTACTCATCCAGGGCGGCCTCTACGCGCTGCACCTGAGCGGCAATGGCGAGAAGTCCCCTCCATCCTCCACCGTCATGATGGGACCGGTGGACGGCACCTCAGACACCTCATCTTCCTCCTTTATGGCCTGGAAGCCGCCGCCGCCGGCTCAGCAGCAGCAGCAACACCATCAACAACATCAACAACATCCGGGTGTCGCCCAGTCGGGCGGTGGACACGCCTCGCACCGATCCGCTGCAGCGGCCGCCTACGACGCCACTACGGTGCGGCTGAACAAGGAGATCGCGGACATGGCACAGCTGGAGCGGGAGCGGCTCATGCTCCTGGCACGGGCAGGCAAGCAGACGGCGGAGAGCAACGGGCCAGCAGGTCATGGCGGTCGCGGACACCAGTTCATTGCCGGACGCATTCAGATGCAGCCCAGCGAGGATCTGGATGTGGGCGACTATCCGGCGCTGCTGCAGCAGGCAGCCAGGGGCTTCATATTCGGCAGCGTGCAGAAGGAGCCGCCTACGCCGCTCGAGGACGACTACGTACAGCCGCAGGAGCTGGATAGCCATGCCGTCAAGTACTACGGGCGGGTGGTGGAGCCCGCGGATCGCGAGGAGGAGGTGGAGCCACTCTACGAGCCTCTGCACTCCTTTGGGGACTTTGACGACTTCTCTGAGCTGGACCAGGAGCCGCACCTCGGCGAGGACGAGCTCCTGCGCGAGCTGGATACCTATCAGTACCACGGCATGGAGGAGGATTCGCCGCTGCCGGAGAACCCGTATCGCACCCTGGAACAGCTCGAGCTGAGTGCGCCCGAGTCCATGCAGCAGCTCTTCGAGCAGGATCACCGCGACGGGCATCCGGCCAAGATGGCTGGTCATCCGGGCCCCTCCCATCCCGGAAACTTCAACATTCGCATGCAGCAGAAGTGGGCCCGGAAACGGGGTGGAGCCGCCGTTGGAGTCGGACCGGATAGGCAGCCCTTGCTGCAGCGCAACATCTTCGGGCAGCACTTCAAGCAGCAGCGTGGACTACTCTCGCTGGCCAACTCCGAGGCCACGGCCAGCAAGCATCTCAAGGCGAGTACACGTTCCGGTGGCCTCAGTCTCAATGCTCCCAAGGATAACGAAAAGCCAGCCCAGACAGCCGCAAGTGGACTAGCAGCAGCCGTCGGAGGCAGTGCCTCTGGTGCCGCCAGTCAGCAGCAGAACAAACAGCAGCACGAATCCACATCTGGAGATGCTCAACAGCAGCAACAGCAGCAGCAGCCGAATACGCAGGACAAGAAGGAGTCCGAGCAACAGTTGCTGCATCCCAACCACAAGCGTTCCGGCAGCGTGAACTCCGCCGGAGGGGCAGCGCAGGGCGCCGGATACGCAGCGCCATCCATCTCCCATAGCGTAGCCAGTCAGTTGATGCTGCGCACGGCCCGCGGCCAGCGGCAGTACGATGTGCCACAAATCGGTGAGTACCAAATGCCCGTAGCTTGCGGGTGTAGCGAGTCCTACGAAAATCGATGAATCGAAACTGATTGGGCTAGCCTCTGACCTTTAGCACCCCCTTCACCCCAGTTCAACATCCTACATGCTAGAAAATTGATCTAATCAGACCTCGACCACAGCAAACGAAAACGAAAACAGTCAAGCCCCAGTCAGAGTCAGGCAATACCACTCCATTCCATTATCTGGATTCCATGTCAGCTAATTTTATACGTACCCCCCAATCGCATGGCCTGGACTGAGACACGGGCCATGGGCCCCGCTTGACCCTGTCGTGTTTGCCCCCTGCCCTGCCCGGGTTCAACCAATTTAGTTATTAGTTTTTCCGAGGGCTCAGGCCCGAAATCCCTGCTCACAACACTCGACTTCCGAAGGCCACTAATCGGTATATTTTCAAACCAGAAGTAGGTTCCAACCGCATAGACACGAGTACTTACACACGGGCTGTGGCTGGAAGTATTAGCCGCAGACAATGGCCATATAATTGCAAGCCACTTGGGATTTTGGGCTCCTCGCAAGCAGAGTAAAATTTTCCTAAGTAGTGCAGGGCAGAGCACATAACATAAGGACTGAACACCCGCCTCAGTAGTCAGTACCCGGAGCTGGCCGACTTCTGAATGGGATCCGATCCCCTTATCCACCACATCAATCAGCAATCAGCAATCGACAATCGCAGTGCGATTAATAACTTGTCAGCAACTCCATTGTCCATTGTCCGAAACTGCAATGACAAAGTTTCCTGCACTATTTCCATCCATTTTCCATTTATTTTTGGAAACTTTGGCGGCCTCCTGCTGCCGGCACCGCTTGCCCTCCCAGTTTGGCCATTGCATTTAGCAAATTAGTCGGCGAGAAGCTGCTAGCGCGGGGCCTCCTTTTGTCTGGGGGGAAGTTCGTCCTTGGCTTTTCTCCATTCCCCATTCCCCATTCCCTATTACCCATTTTGGCTGTTGTTAATCACTTGGATAGCTAAATTACTTTACAACAAGTTTTGATGGCCTCCATGAATACGGAATGGGCTTAGAGAAAACCGTGGCTGGCGCTGGCGCTGGCGCTGTCGCTGGCACTGGCACTGGCGCACCGAGAGTACTTGGTCTGGCCTGGTCTGGCAATCAATTTTAATTTTTAATTAACACTTTCAAGTTTAATGGCGGCCATTGTTATGGCCGAGTGCTAAATGCGATTTCATTGTCCGCCGGCAGAGGAGAGCAGGAAAGCAGGAGAGCAGGATACCATTATTCCAGGAGGAGAGATAGGACAATCTGTAATTGCAGATTCGAAACTTTATTTATGTCCAACTTTATAATTTGATTGAATGATTATGGTCTGAAAATAACCATTTTTCAATTCCTTCCTCGTTGGAAATTGAGTATAATCGATACAATCTGTTAATTGTTAATTGATTGCTGCGTTTAAATGGATGATAAATATCGCTGTCCCACAAGGACTGAGAGCTAATCAGTTCCAACAACGTATCCCTAAATGAATGATGAATGATTCGATTCAAAAAACTCGCTCGTTTTAGTCTAATTTGTGGCAAGTTGGCTGAATTTTCTGCCGTTTGTATGGTGTAATTGTATTTGATATCTTACATCGTTAATATAACTACTTTTCGCTGCTTTCTAGCCAATCAAAAATTGCCAATTACAACTCAATTTCTTCAGATATTCATGGTAAAAATTCCCTCAAACTGATTACCCAATTAAATTTGATTGGAGTGGTTGCCTTTTTGTCTTACTTACGGCGCCGCCTGGCATGGCCCCTCCTTCGAGGAGTTCTCCTTCCGCCACGAAGAGCATCTCATTTAAGTGGGTTTTCCAGGGAAAAAGCTCAATATGAATTGAAATGAATCCAATCAATGGATTTTCATTTTATGCGCATGTTTGGAGCGAACTTTTCCACTGCTTTCCTTTTTTTTCTTTATTTTGCTGTTTCACTTTTCCCACATTTCTTTTCTTTCCTCCGTTCCCCCCCCCCCCCTTTTTCTGTGTTATTATTGTTTGCCAACTTTCAACGTCATCAAGTGTCAGCTGCAAAGCCGTCCACAGCCAACCGCCGACCAAGTTGTCGGCCCTCTTCATCGCCACATTGGTTCACACTTTCTCTGTTTTATTATCCACTGTTTCAAGTGGAAAATTGGAAAACCATCGCGTCGGAGGATCCGACACAAAAACATATGTGCCCAAAACGGTAGCGCGTTATCGGAGGTGTCCTGCTGCTCGTCAGAGTCGGAGTCGGAGTCGGACTCTGACGGGTAAAGAGTTTTCATGCGGAACAATACGCAAACCATTGGCACTTTTTCCGGGGAATCCTGCGGCCGCGGTGGCCGTTGACATCATTAGGACGGACGCGTTTGCCGTTTACGATCTGCACGGTGCGGTTTCTCACTAATTCAGTAACAGCACCCCGGGGGGCCCATCACGCCGGACAGGACCAGAACCCGAGCCCGGACCTACACGGCTGGGCCCGGCACACAGGCAGAGACACCTACGGCGGCATTGTCCGTGGCGGTGGCGGTGGCAGTGGCAGTGACAGTGGCAGTGGCAGAGGGACACTCATTCATTCATGGACGCCTGTGTTTGGCATGTCCTTTCTCCCACGCCCACATCCTGGCACTTTGCCTGTCCCTGTCTCTCTCCCTCTCACTCTCTCTCTCACTTTCACTCCTTCCTTCTGCCTTTATGAATGTGTGTGCGCCTCTAGGTTCTCCCACTCATTCTCATTCCCTTTCCACTGTTTCTGGCTGTTGATTTAATTTGTAATTCGAGGAGAGGTCCTCAAGTGTCCACTTGGCGGCGAAAGGATCATCGATAAGTGCGGACGCACCCGCTCCTCTGACGCCCATCGTTCCATTGTTGCGTTAAATATTACGCAAATTAGTTGGAAATGGATATCGGAGATGTCTCCTTCTCGTGAGCGCGCTAGTGGGCGTGGTCTAGGTCTCGCTCTCGGTCTCTGTCTCATCTGATGGAAATTTCCTAAGCCGCACAGCCGCGACAGGTTGTCTGGCAGGACTAGGACATCTGCATCCCTCCGTCAATGCCTGTCTGGGGCTCGATAATTGGACATTGATATGCAAATAGTCGGTGGGTCTCGAGCTCGGGCCACAGCCAGTGGACAAATTGCTGGAAAAATGTCTCTCCGTCGCCGTCCTGGTCTGCCGCAGCATTTGAATCGATCTCGTCAAATCCTTGCCGTAATTTGTACTGTAATTTTCTGCTCTGTGTGGCGGCACAGCGTGCTCCTTGACCTATAAAAAGAGTATATAGTCTGGCACATGTGCATATGTACATACAGTATGTACGTATAGTCGTATAGTCAATATACGTATATAACTTGAAATTCTATGCACAACAAAAGACACGACGGGGTGGGGGAACACACAGACGCATTTTCCAACAAGGTCGAATCAAATTTATTCCGCATAGAGACAGAGCTCCCAGCGATGGCTTCGGCTTCCATTGGATTGGAGGTTTGGATGGAGTGCGGTCTGGTTTCTGGTTAATTGGGGGAGCACATCTTATCAGATCCATCCCTTTATTCGAATTTCACGGTACCGCCGAAAAGTCTGCGGTAATACTGAAGAAAGTGGAGCAGTGTTAATGGCCAAGTAAACCGATGGTTAAATATAGCCGGTAGATGGACTCCGTAGTGCAACAGCAACTTAAGAGAGAGACAGAGAGAGAGAGAGAGAGAGAGAGAGAGACACAGACACAGTACACAAATCAATATACAATGACATCATCTGCGCCAGCATCCGGCAGGCAGACATCTAGACAGACAGTTCGTGAAATTTTAAAGCACACAAACAGGCGATTGGCCTAAACCCACGTCTCCCCCCGTCCCGCCCACCCCTTCAGCCCTTCTCAACCACCTTTACCGCCCATCACCCCCCAGATCTGATGCGATGAGGAGCCTGCATATATAATTATGCCACACGAAGGCGAAAGCGACGGCGACGAGGCTGTGAGAAAATATTTACATTACCGTAAGGCCCAGGACCCGAAAGATGCGGGGAAGGGCCAACGGCGAACGCGGCCATTGAGCAGGCCAATTGTTGTGTGTGAGTGACTGTGTGTGTGTGTGTGTGTATCTGTGTGTGCGTGTTGGTAACTCATTCAGCCAGTTTGACGACAACAGCGCCAAAAGCCAGCCAAAGTTTTTCCTTCTGCTTACGTCACAAAAGTCAGACTCTGCGAACCGAGATTGATATATACCCATGCATACATATGTATACATATATATATGTATATACCACTCGTACTAGTAAAAATCTGTGGCTAGTGTGGCATGTCGGAGGCTGGGATTGTAGTCGAAAAGGATTGGGATTGGGGAATGGGAAATCTAATGGCCAAATAGCTGGCGGGGGCGCTGTGCTGTTGCTGTGTGCACTGCATAAATATCAGCAGCTTCTCAGCTTCCCTTCGAGTACGATTACTCTTGTGGATCACAATGGATGGATGTTTGGGAGGGGGGTTGGGATGCCGAAACCCTCTTGCCCAAAATCTATAATAAGCCACAAGAGACCGAATCACTTGGCTATATATGTATGTATATATATATATGTATAATATAAATGTATTTGAACAGTCAACGGCTCCGGCTCTTAGTCATCTGAAGAGGGAAAAACTCTTCAGCCAATAAATGTATCTGTGTAATTGCGTATGTGTGTGTGCTCTCTCTGTGCTCGTGGTAGAGTTTTTTAGTCAATGAAGCGTCAAGGACTTTTGCTTATGATATATTTACCCAAGACAGAGCCAAAAAGCCAGAGAGAGAGAGAGAGGGGCAGGGAGGGGAGGAGGCCACAAGAGATGATGCAATGAAATCTAGAGGCATGCCACAAGAAGGCGAAAGTGTAAGAAAGAACTTCGAGGGAAAGCGAAGCAAAGCGAGGGGAAAGCCATGCCCAGACAGCCAAGTAGTTGTCGTCCTCGTCGTCCTCACCGTCGTCGTCCTCGTCGTCCT